CAACGATAGCTGTGTGAACGAGTACGTTGCTAACAGACGCCACTAGTGAATATGCTAGATTGATCGTTATAGTATTAACGGCCTGTTTTAGTCGAAGTCCTAGTGTACTTTCAGCTGTTTAATCGTCACTATAATGGTCCAGTTATAAACAGAAATAAAGCCAATCACGAATTGTTTTAAGGGATGCTATTCATTCAAATACTGTGCAATGCTTAGAAGAAGATGAAACCAAATAGGCCGAAATTCGCTATCGTTGAACGCAAGCGAAAAAAAAAAATAAATGTACCGGCTGTTCTGACAAGGGCTTTTATATAGCCTAAAGTGGTTCTCTATAAGGCATGTGTTTTGGAAAAATATTGATCGAAGACACTTATGTCATAGCCTATATAGGCCCCACAGGGTGAAATTATATGGGTCAGAGGTGGGGCTCTAAGGACGACTAATGAGTTCACGCTAAAAAACCTATCACTTGACAAAGTTAAAGAAAAAAATGCTTGTCTTTTTGGAAGGATTTGGCTAGAAAAGTCGGCGCTTTACAATCATTCGCTGCAAAGTTAGACAGGTCAAAGGTCATGATTCATCTAGCAAAAGCCCATATGAACTTCTGTTTTAAGTTGTGAAACCGGTTTTGAAGTGGCCAGAATTGGCACGTGTACATTGGTAAGTTGAATTTTGTTGTATAAATGGCTCGAGTTAGTTAATTAGTTACGTGGGCACCGTTTATCATCGATAGCTTGACTGCTATTGCTATAAACAATTATTTGCGGTAAATTCTGCTCCGACCCTGAAATACGGCGTACGGTGCGTTAAGTTAATAAGGCAGTGAACATGTTTTGATACGTTGTTGACAACAATGACACTGGTTCAACGGATACGTTTGCCGTATATGCAAACACCTATTTCTACAAAGCCACACTTTTATCCGAAACTAATTTGTTTTTTTGATTGGTTTGTATAGTTAGCATCATGGCTTCATATACCTTCGAAATGCTGTAGTTCTTCTCTATTGTTTCTATTGTTCTTGCCTCATCAAAGGTCTGACGAAATATGAGCGAAATTCTTAATTGTCGCATAATGACACCCCACCTATTGAAATTTGGACAATGTTAAAAATTCAATAACGAGAAAAGGACTAAATATTTAACCCGAATGTATATCAAAAACTATAAATTCTCCATAATATTAAAGTTTTCAGTCAACATTCCTGTTATAAAAGATGGAACGACCCACATAGACCTTGATCCCATAGGCCAACCTTCTTCGCGCCAAATTCGTTTGATCAATACCAATCCGCTGCCCTCCAAGAAAACAAGTAGTACATACACTGGGTTTCCATTCGACACTGAGAACAGCATTAATATCATATATCATTAACGCGCCAATTATAAAAATGGCATGATCGTTTTTCAGCTAGCCGACCTCGCAGCCACTAGTGTCCGCGTCCGTGTCAGTGATCGATTACGTTAATATAAATACGACGTATTTACACGGTATTAGTTAACAGCTCGAGTCCCATAAAGGTGTTTCGGCTAGTTCGTTTATTTGAAGGACGAATTTCTAATGAACCCTCTCATTAAGTGGACAACGGCATTTTTCCTGTGGCTTAGTGATCTTTTGTTGGTACCTTACATATGCCGATCTATTTCTACTTCTACGAAAATAGGCTTAAGGTGGATGGCTTAATCGGATCAATTAAGCTCACTTTTTTGTGGTGGTGGTGACGGTATGTCGTCCAGGGACGTACATATCGAATAAACGAGGAGTCCTCTCTACATTGAGTTATTTTGCCTGTAGCTCACGTTTTTTCAAATCAACATAGTTGCCCAGTCATAACCTGACACAGCTTTGCTAACATATAATGCAAGAAGGACTAGATAGGCAACCAAACAGCCCTCGTCCAGATGCACGTCCTCGTTTTACATTTCCGCTAGGGGATATCGCATATACATGTATTATGATCATAAATTCATCGTGCTGTCTTCCAGCGATCTGTATGTATTTACATAAGTAGAAAAGCATACCTGGTAACGTGCGAGAGAGCAAGGGGCTTCCCTCTGCGTTAAACAAACTACCGCAACTTGTTGAGCTCATTTGAGCTGTTAAATGCTCACTTAGTTTCGGTTACGCCAGTACGTTGTTCGTCACGTGTTCATGGCGTCCCCCGGTTGATGGCAAAAATGTACAGCACGTACATGTTTGGGCCCCTGGTTCCACTACCCCGCCACCGTCCTTTACTTAGCCGATGTACAAATTTAGGCACAGCTGGCGGTTTTATGTAAGATCATAGCGAGACGGCGGTCGAGCCCTCCCAGTAACACTCCCTATATCTTTTTGCACGTATGCTCTCTTTTTTGCAGAATATCAAGCCCTAATTGAATGGCTTTTTTTAGGTCGCTCTCTGAGGGGGCTGCGCGTTCGCCTTTTTGTCTTGATAGTTGTGGATTAATCAGCACCTATTAGCATGAAGCATAGGTATAATGCAAAAGGTTCAAAAACGATAATATAGAGAAGAAAAACACTTTGGATGAATGATATCGCCAAAGATTTTCTCTATTATAAACGAAAAATCCATGAAATCGCGATAAAATTATACTTCATTGCTCAGCCTAAACTTATAATATGAATGTTTCAGTTAATCTAGAACGTTTTCTTATAAAAAGGCATAATTTAACATGTGAAAATTTACCTTTGCTTCTGTATTTTTTAGAGTTTAAAAGGAAAAATTATCGCTTAATAATATGAAAGAGTAGAATGTTGTTTTATTATTATTAGTACAATTGTATAAAAATAAGAAAATTGCGATTTGTGGTTTTGCTACAAAGTGTTACAGTTAGACAGCTAAATGGAGCAAGTCGCAGCTAAACTCATTGTCTAAGGTCTGTTTTTTTGTGGCCTTTGTTATGCTTACGCCTGTCCCTAAGTATTCTTACGAACTTTTTCTACAGAAATTCCGTAAGCGTCACCAAGGTTCGAAAAATTTCTCTGACGAACTCGAATAGAAGCAGACGAAACGGGCCACAATAGCGTAAGTCTTGGATATCGGACGTTGTTGGCAGGCCGCTTTTGTTAACCGGACCCTTACGTAATCCCTAGGCATGCGCAGGGCGTTAGCGACAGTTCGTGGCTAGAAAAAGGGCAAACAAGATGGTGGTGTAGGGGTACCACTCAAAAACGGTATTGAAACGGGGCCCACAAACAGGAGTCTGCTATTAGCCATGCCCTAAGGGGAACATTCCCAACGAGTCTGCGGGATGACCCTTAAGATCTGCTATTCTGTTCTTATACTGCTTAAGTGGCTTGGAGGGCAAAGATAATAACCACACTGTGCCTAAGGGGCACACAGTTTCACTACTAAGAGATCCTGATGCTAACGTATTGGTAGACTCAAAGACGTTGCGCACTCGTGCTCAGTAATTAGTTATAAATCAATTTGATTCACTGGAAAAGACAGTAACTTCAAACTAGCTATGGTTGTTTTTTGGGAAGAGTGCTCGATTAACAAGGTTAGACGAAAAAATATTTTTTAATTTGATCGAGAGCTGGTATCAGAATATCGAATACGACACATTCTTTGCTGGAGAGGCAGCGTTAATTTATGCACTTTTAAGGGCTACACGGGATATGATTTTTCGACATATGTTTCGTATCTATCTTCAGTGGATCGCGAAGACAATACGCGGATATTTTACATACATTTGGAAACAAACAACTGTTTTCTGGCTTTTCTATGCTTTGGGCCTGTTCTAATTGGTTGAGTTTTTGTGGCCATTTTAGAGTCTGCACCTCGTTAGACCTCAAAGATAAAGCAACTGCAGTAATTAATTAATAGCATCATAAAGTTAAATTTAATTGAAAAACCTGATTTCAATACAGCTATTTATATCACTGCAGTTAAGAAGAGCTGTTGTTTGAGTGGACTGTGCCACACATGTGTCTTCTTTATTGATTCCGTGATTGGTTGATTATCTTCTACATTATATTTCAACACACCAGTACAACTGTACTAATTTTATATGAATATGTCCAAATTTCTCAAACATGTCGAACATTGTTCTTACTGTAAAATGAAGGTTTTGGGTTTTACGTCGTACGTTGCAATAAACCATATTGTTTCGAGCGATTTTATTATCTTCATTTCGTCAAGCATTTACAACTGTCAGTAAAACAAGAAATGTGCTATTTTTTTCCGTGTTTATTCTTAAATGATCTTCGCTCTCTTCTCGTGATTATCAAGTATGACAGGCGTCTACGAAGCGTATCCTAACCTTCAGTCAAGCTCGCAACATTGCCGCATCTGACGTCCTTTCCCCGGATAAACAGAATGACATATATATATATATATATATATATATATATATATATATATATATATATATATATATATATATAGCGGTATAACGAGCACGTTGAAAGGAAACAGCTAAAAGTATTGTGCACGATACACACTACGGTTGTGCACTATAGCTTTTAGCGGCTGGTCAGCCGAGCGCTTCGTAACTGAGCACGCAGTAACGCTTTTGTGATTCTCATTCGTTATACGCCATGTTGTACCGGATAACATAGAAAAAATAATCTATATAACATTCGAGTAGTTATCCCACTTAACGTCATACATTTATATAGACTAGCAGAAGCAATTGAACTTTAGGTAGTAATCTTGAAAGGATACATTTGTACCTGTCGCTCTTATAGGATATTAGCTCAAGGTTTAAAACGAGATATAGCGCGTCGGGTACATATCTGTTCCCTGGATAATATCCAGCGGTATTGCGTTATCAGATTCTGCTTAAAAACTATCTTTCTTCAGAGTTCCAATCCGAATAAGCGTTTTGCTCGTTGAAACTTTATTGGAAAGTTTCCTTGCAAGTAAGTTCCACGTCATGTACTAGCGTTACAATAATAGCAGACCGTGACTGAGCGTATTCTGTCTTTTTTTGGTTTGATTAATTTGGAAAACATGATTGAAGCTATGCTAATTTGTTGTTTCACGCTTGTTACAGAGCTCTGGCGCAAATAGTACCTCCCTGTCGCGAATCTCTGACGAGGACGAAGAGTGGCGGGGGGCGCACAAGCCTGGACCGAGCGGCGTTTTGTCCCCGAGAGCCTCCCAGGCTACTCAAGGGGTGCAGGCCACTGACGGCGGCGGCGGGCAGGCTGAAGGCTGCTCGCTTGCCGCCGCACCGCTTTCGGATCCAGTTACCCCCCGGGCCGAACGAAAATGCGGACTCCTAGCAAGATCTTCGACGGCAGGTAGGTAACCGAATACGTCAAAGCGTTATAAATTAATTTTGCATACAATGCTCTACTTAGATGAATATTAGCCATATCAGTGCGTTCACAACTCTGACTTTGCTATTGAACAACGGGCTCTCGAAGAACGTCTTCGTAATTTACACTCACTTGCAGTATCAAAATGTGCTCACAGTCAAGATTGTGCCATCTGCTACAGGTGATACGATTCAATTAAACTCTCCAATTGGTTCGACTTTTGATGACGATTAGTATTACCTAGTAATTATAAAAGCGGGCATTCCTTTTTAGCGGACTCACTTATCAGCTATTAAGTGACTACTTCTTGAAAGAGCAATGAAAAAGCCGGTGAAATGAGCATAAGTTGCGAATATCCACCCTGTAGGGTTTTCTGTTTAATGGTATTAGACACTTTGCCTATTTGTGTTGTTCTCACACTGTCGGAAACACGGTTAAAATCGACAAAATTCGCTGCCCAAAATTTCTGCCTTTTTTAAATCGTCCAATACGGAAACATCAGTTCACAGAGACATATGTTTTCAGAATATTTGCCCCACCACCAAACTGGGGCAAACAGAAAGAAAAATATCGTTAACCACGTTAACCAAAGATCTGTTAGACGCCGCTCGTATGACAAAGAATTTGTCGAGGCTCAGCAGAGAAAACTTTCCCTGATAGGTTATCGACCTGCGGATTACGAAACGTTCAGTACTGCGTTCAGATCGTACGGACTGTCACCATAGAATATATTGGCCAATAAGGCCAACTAACAGCTCAGGACACATCGCTTAGTGTCGAAAAACGCAAAGGAACCAAGCAAAGAAAATGGAAAAAGGTTCCAGGAGGGATCTTCACGACAAAGTACCAGAACTCTGCAAAGTACCTCTCATTGGAAGCAAGCGACACAAAACAGGCGTAGCGAATGCGGGTCGATGGTGGGAACGAGCTGAGGCCGTAGAAGAATCGATGCTAAATGGAGACGAAACCGGAAAATCGATGTAGATTGAGAGTTTGGTAACGGCAGTATCAGTGTGGTGCTGGTAAAAGTGCGATATAGCGAACGTTAGGTAGCGCGTAGACTGAAGAGAATCCTTGAAATTGTAGAAAAGCTTTATAGAGGAACACTTGAGTGGGACAGAAGAACAACAACGGGAAAATGTTTACCTTAGACCTGTTGCAAACAAAAAATTAAGTGAAAAATCCATAGGGACCGTGTGGGGATGAATAGTATTTTTGTAGATTTGCTGTAACATCGGTGGTGTTGTTTGGGCAACTGGGTTACATGAAACACAATCACATCTAAAAGATACATTAGTCAGTGCGAAATTTAATACCTAAATAACGAGTGGTTGAAGAAAGTAAGTTTAAGTGCCGCTTTAGCAGTGCATAGTCTAAGTAGTTCTGCCGTGATGAAATTCTGATTTTGTTAGATGTTCGAAGCGTTATCGAGCATCGAACCTTAAAGCCGATCCTACGCTAAAACGTCTACGCTAAAAGGTGCCTATGCAGATTGTACGAGGCCGCGGAGATATGCTGGTACTTAAAATAGCTCATCGGCCAACAGCACACATTGATCTCCGTCTTGTATAAAACAAATACGACAAGTTGAGTGGTATCTACGTGCCGCCATCCGTGCATCAATGTGTTAGTGTGCACGTATACGAATAGGTTACTAATTCTACTAAAGTCTGGTTTGCTTTTTGATTTCCAAAGTGCTACGTATGAATTGCAGGCCAAGTCGATACCTTTTTTTTTTCTTTTTTCGCATATAAAAAAGTAACTGTCGTGTTTTGAACACAAACGTTCTGTCCGCTCTTAATAGATATTCGACACTTATGCGTTTCAAGCATTACCCTGTCTCGATATCGATCGATTGCAGGCCAATGACGACAATGATGTCAAATGCTTTTGGATTGATACTAATGGCTATAAAGGCTCAACCTATAAGGTATGTTTGCCCACTAGATGGCGCTAAGGTAGCCAATATCACTGCATGCTTAGCTGGCTTAATTTAGGGAATATATTGGCCCGTTAGCTTTTCTCCGGTCCGCTGTTTGCCAATTCACGACTGCATGACCTATCCTGCTACACGCTGCCGCCGATGTACGTATGCTCGGGAGGACACCGATCTGCTGAGAAGAAAAACGTGGTTAAGACAGTCGACGGAAGAAGTCCTTCTAAACACCTGAAAATAATCTCTAATCGTGGTTTTCGTTCTACCTAGCTTTAACATTCCGGATTGTCCGTCACTTTTTTATTCTTCTAAGTTATTACTTCTTCCAATGCGTAGAATCGTTTAGACGTAACATGTGTGACATCGCATGGTGCTCCTCGTTACATCGTATTTTCATCGATCGGATCCAACGATGGCAGACGAAAGTACTATAAACGAGTAAATGTCTCTATGTATCGTGTTTTCCGGCCGGGTGAAATTTTCGCCGCAGATGTTCTTCGTTTACTAAAATGGCAAAACAACAAAAAAAAAACGCCTACACGTGTTATATATATATACTCCATTAAGCGTCGCTGAGTCGATCTTCTGCGTCCTTCACTAGCCCGATCGAATGCGAGCATAAACGATGAAGTACTAGCGTATACTTGCTACATCTTAGATATTCGAGGGAGCGACGTCGTCTGTCGGATATGCAGATCGATCATGGCTGAAAATTTACTCGTACCATAATACGATTCTTTTGTTCCTGCTTATTCTGCTCTGATGGCGCTTCTACGCAATTATTAAACATTAAACACATTCAGGTAGTTAGGGTTATATGGGTAACGGGCAGAATAAGACCCGTGAAATACAACTGGGGCAAAGCAGCCGAATTAAATGATATACGTGTGTATGTGTGCTACTATACGACACTTACAAAGAACGGAGCTAGACGATGGGTGAGAACGTTTTTACGTTCAGGTTTATTATTTCAGTTCAAAGCTGTTTGTCGGCTATTAAAGCAGTTGATTTCAAGAAACTGTTAATAGAGTTCACTTTTCGCTATCTAGATTCCGCTCGAGTTTCTTAATCAAATTGGTCTCGCTTGTGTAGGTCCTTTCACAATAGCAGCACTTCACATAATGCACGATCATATACACCTAAAGTAAAGAATATGTACAAACAACAGTACGTAAACATGTACCGTCATTAAGTCTACTTTGTTCAAAAAGATTAAAATTAATTGTTTTCGGCAGCTTTACATGGCGAACATCGCCAAGAATAAGCCGCGTTAGGCGCTCCGATTTATATATCAGGAACACTTATGAAGGCAGGAACCCTTTATAAGTTTGCTAAATATGACGACGATTTTTTGCCGGAATGTACCTCAGAGTGATTTTGCGTACCATCGGTACCTTCTGTGACGATTTAAGCCTAGTCGTACTTCGCGCCGATAACGCATAGAACGGTGTTCGATGTGCTGTCGAAAAGGGTCCGAGAAGGACCAGGACATCATATTAAATATGAATGCTTACTCACGTTTTTTGTTTTGTAGTTGTTAGCACATTATAGTTACGCGGAACAGAATTGAAACCTGCCACTGGTAAAAGCTTCACAGGAACACATTTAAACGCTAGGGGTCGCGGTCGAGTGAGTATGTAATCACAATATAGGTATTAATTGAGGATGGCCTTAGACGAAAGTCGTGGCGTCCGTATTGACTTTGTATGCGCAATTATTTTGCTATCTGCTACGCAGGAACCACTCGACGAATGTTCTTCCCTCGAATCGTATAATGTATTATATAATCGTGGGTTCTGAACGTTTGTGAGCCAGTTTAGCTAACAGGAGGAAAACGTTTCTAGAAGCATTTGTCGGTTAGGCTAAATGACATAGGCACTAAAATACGAAGTCTAGCAGAAGGAAGGCATGCTGAAAATTGTGTATTGCTATTTTTGAAAATTTCAATTTACAAGCTTTATGACGTCGGTATACGTGACTCGTACAGAAAAATCAGGAAACTGAATACGATTAATCGAAATCAACTTCTCTGCCAATGACAAGTATCTGGAAGCTCAAAGCGGAGCCCTTCGAGATCCATTGTATATTCACATTTCTCAAGGAACAAAAGTGAAACTATGTGAAGCCAATACGATGGGTTACCCTATTGTAAATTGTCACATGGAGTTGTCCAAGCGAAGGCTGTTAAGCAAGCAAACCCACTTATTTTTAGTTAATTGGAGGACATACGCGTGGCTCATCCGTGGCAAAATATGTATTGATATCCTGAACGCTGTTGCATTCAACGTTAATTTCTGTAGGAAATGGGTTCTATCGTTAGACCGTGCATATTGTCCACAGATTACGATACAAAACACTTGGCCTGTTTATATACATTCTTTAGAACTTCTTTCAAAAATTGTTTCACGATGTGCATTACAGGAAGCGTTGCAGGTAACGTTAGTTACTCTAGGTTTTGCTAATTCTTTCTTGTTCAAGGCTTTGCAGGAGACGGTCCTCCAACTTCAAAAGGCTCCTCCTTCGGAAGAGCAGCCCTCGATCGACAGTGGCGAAAACTGTTCCATAGTAACTCACAGGTAATAGCCGTTATTTATTTTTAATTGACTGATAACTTTATTTTACTTCTGTATATGTGAGTTCTATGACGCGCGAATAAATGCGGATTATAAAATACGTTCTTCTACGATAAGAATGTGGTCAACAACCTATTTTCCAAAATAACTAATATACATTTTTGACTCCCCCAATTTGTTGCTAGGATCATCACGATGAGGGGCAAAGACCCAGTCGGGAAAAACACTCTCTCAAATTTCGCCGGCAGGACATACTCAACAGCGAACTCTATGTAAGTCAATCTCATTTCAGGTGCGCGTACGTCAACCGTATGTCAAAGTCTATCATTGCGTCGATCTTCGAAAACGCGATTTCAAATTTACCTTAATATATACAAGGATGTTGCTGACATATGTATACTATATCGGTACTGAAACCAGCGATTTTAGTGGGCATCGGACTCGGAGAAGACGGTTTCACCTGCGGAACCCATTTGATCTTATGTGCTAATCCCCTTTAAAGGAGAATTTGAACACCTCAAATAACATCAACTCTTTATACAAAGTGCCTTGCAAATAATCATTCCATGGGGGGGCACGCTCACTGAACTGAGAGGTGAAGAGTCAAGTAAGCGTTGTATTACATACTAAATCGACAGATTGATTAAATACGTATCTCTCACTAAAAATGTAAAAAAAAAAATTAAGTAAAAATACTAAGACCTCCATGCAGCTTTCATTCCTTGCCCTAAATATCGATATCTCAGGCTCGATGTTAGTGGCGCCACCTTCGGCACTAAACGGAATTATTCTACACCGAGTTATAATCCGTATCTTTTTCGATGAAAAATAAGCCAGCATGTTTATTGCTGAAGTAAACATTACCTTTCTGGAAAAATATCTCATATACAACAATTGGAAAAAAAAAGTCACTGAAATTAAATTCATCTGGTTGATTGAATTATTTCCGAGTCATTATATCCATATGTTTCAGATTCACGCAAGATGGGTATTGAATTGACCTGTAAAATGATCTGAGAAATAAACGAAAGCTTACTTTTGGTGCTCGCCTCTCCCATCTAAGCACAGTTCCACAATGTATTTTTTCTAATAATGATAATATAATTTTCTAATAATGTTCAAGACTGAATTTGATAGCTAAATCTCGATAGCTACCTTGTATCATTGTTTGTTTAAGATGAGCCGAATTGTTTTGTTCATATCCCACGAACAAACAAATCGTGATATTGTTGTTGTGTTCAGTTTTTTTTTTTTATTTTACTCGTGTCTGACGAAAGCCAGACGTTTGTTGATAGTAGAGCCGCGACTAGGTGCGGTTTGTTGACCGATATATAATCCCTTCACAACCGATGTTAATAAATAAGTTTTCGAAAGTACATACCTATGCAAACGTTAGCATAGGTTTTCAGACCGTCAAATTCTCTGCTCCGATGTCTAGATCAACATGTAAAAAAAACGCATTAGACAGGCTCAATGAGGAACTCAACAGCGCACTGTCGACGTTTGCCTCATTTTATCCTAAAGCCCCGCTGGCAGCTTCCGTATAAAGCATAAACGTATGAAAGCAAATCAGGTGTTAAGCACCGCCAAGAAGAAGAGGCCTGTTTTATACTGGTCCTTTGCCCTGCCTCGCCTCGGTTTCTTTCACTAGCACGATTCCCTTCTTTTCCCTCTACTCTCAAATCATTGACACTTAGCCATTCATCGTCTCTTTCCGCTTGTGTCCCTAGACTCAATCAGGTTCCTATTCATGCACGCGACTTGGGGCTTTCGTACTCAACACCGTTTTCATCCGACGAGTAAATATTCTAAGCTTCGAATTTAAACAACGGCAAACGATAAGCTGCTCCGAGAGATCAGCATTGTTCTAGCTTTTGGGCTTTAACCTGCCATTAATACTCAGCCAACAATATAGGACTGTAACGACCTAGCAATATACTGCGACCTTTTTTAGCTGTCCTTTGACCAACCTCCATTTAACGTTTCGAAAAATCCTCCGAAAAAGAAGGATGAGGATTTCCACTTCAAGTGTTTTTCTTTCGCATTAAATCGACTTCAACTACGTTCGAATTCGTTTGAATCGCCGCGTCGTCTCGGTTAAGACGAGTCGGTAAAAGCCGTACTTGGGTTCAATAAATCTTAAGCGGCGAGGCCTCCAGTAGAATAAACGGAATAAAATCGTGAGGCGCGAACGTGGATGCTTCAAAGCTGAGCTTTTTAAAACTGTTTAAGAGTCGACGAATTTTGAAATAATGATGGCAAGATGGGAGATTTAAAGGTGAGAAACAGTAATGCCTTCACTTGTACGAACTTTGGTCTCTTTTTCTTTTTCTTTTTCTTTATAAAGGCATGGACTGATGCATTTACACTACTTTTAATGCCGCTTGAGTGTAGAACTCATTAAGCTCTCTGGAAACAAACGAAAACGTGTCTAGATGGTGTAGAGCACGATGGCACTCCATCGATGAAGTCTTTCACTGTTCTAATAGATTAATTCAGATTCATTGAAAAAAAGAAATTTGGTAGGGTTGCACTCACTTTATGCCTCTCTCGCGCCAGGTACATTCTGACGTTCCCCCAACCTCCTTCTTCCACTTCCTGTTCTTCTTTCTTACGTGTAGTGGTTTCGAAAAAGGTCGTTTCTTTCTATAACTCAGGCGTACGACTAATAATATCACTAACGGCTGTCCACGATACATCGTGCGGTAAATAATTCTCTCTCGGAAAACTTCACATTCAAAGACAGTGTAATGTACCAGTGGACTTATTTTATATAGCGCACATAATACACATATGTCACGTTGCGATTTCTGTATTATTAGTGCGTAGGTCTGGCGCTGACTGTATCCAGTTAACGTTTGCGTGTTGTGGTAGCTGGGGTCGCCAGTGTTACGAGACCTGCAGGTCCGGGCTCAGGAATCTCGCCCAGTTTCCGGGTCATCAACCATTTTTGGTTGTAGCTATTCGTTTTGCCACTGCGGTGTAATTGCCGCTCCGGTTGGCAACAGGTCCATACAGCCCTTCAGATATCGCTCCGTTCGATTTTCCGCTAGAAGATCTTAAGGAAGCCTCCTAGTGAGCACGAAGGTCGCCTCAATGGAGGCAGTTTTATATGCTCTGGCTACTGCAACTTTTTCTGCCCTAACTAAGACCCATCTGTTCCGGTGTTTATTCGCCAGTATTCGAGCAGCATAGTCCGCTATGAATTTTTCCACCGACCCTAAAGGGTATCTTGTGTCTTTCGAGGAATGTCATGTTGGGCATGAGTAGTTGACATCGGTGTGACGAGGCTTCGTCTTCTACCGTTACTCTTTGTGCTTCTTTTTTTCTTTCTCCTTGTGTATTTTATGTCTCTGAAGTTTGTTGCAGTTGCTCTTCTGTTGTCGTCTCTATAGTCTGCTTAATTAATTCCTTCTTCGACTTTTTTCTTGTCTCTATCTGGTCCGATGCGCCTTACGTTCGAGATCTGCCATAGAGCTTGTTTTGTACCTTCCATTTGGCAAGCACAGTAATACGGCTTCCTACTTTCATCACATTGCTCTACCCTTTGCTCTTTCAATTGCCCTATTTGCAATTCTTCGAAATCTACCTGACCCTCTGGTACTTGAAACATCGAGACCTGGGTTCATTGTTTTCGAGAACAGTAGATATTGCCAAGCCTTATTTTCTTTTAATTCAAGCAGCTCTTTAGCGAACAAGTAACGGAAAAACTGCTACATTCAACCGCCCATAATTTCTGCTCTTGGAAGCTGCCGTGACTCATTTCGTTAACTTTAATGAGGATACTTCCTTTGCGTGACTTGGTAATTCCACCCATTTTCATTTTTGGCTTTTTTGCTCTTAACGTTTTAGTATCTAGGGGATTTTTTCCACCTATTTCTTTATGGCTACACAGTCTTAGCTTTGAGTTATTAGCTCGCGACCTTTTATCTTCCTTAATCTTCTCACATTTTCTGTAGACGATGAATTCGTAGCTTCTGCCCGTTAGATTGATAACACACTGCCAAAGTTTATTTCCATCAGAGCACTTCGATTTCTGCGATATGTGTAGCATACGTATATATGTTTGCCTGGGTTTTTTTTCCACTTTTAGCGATGATTGTTCGAAGTACATTAAAAACTCCAACCACACCTACACCTAACGCTATTATTCCAGTCCTCATTGATCTGGGAGTAATTATGAGACGCTCTTATTTTTCTTTCTGATTATCTTGTACCATTTCACCGGCATCAATGCTAATCTAAAAGGAACTAAAGCGAGTTAGTGGTTAGCCTTTTTAAGAGTGCCTGGTCTTTGCTCGATTCCTTCACAATAAATATGCTTCTGATTTGTCCAATCACAGGGCTGTTCTTCTGGATCACCTTAGCGCCTAAACCTTCCTTTCACAATGACATCCGTTCTATCATCCTCCTGAAAGAATTTGCTTATTTTCTTTATCTTTCCATACTTGACCTCTTAGTTATAGTGCAGGCAGAGAATGGATTCATTGCTGCTAATCTTTTTAGGCCTTATTATTATAAGGGCCTCAAGCTGCTTTTTATTTTGGTATAAAAAAAAAAACGCGTCTGTTGGAGATTTATGCATTTTTCATGTTGTTGATGTGCTTTTTCTTCCGGTGTGCTTTATCGTTTTAGTTTTTCTCTGAACTTTTCGTACACTTCGATTTAAGACCTTCAATAATTTTACTTTATGTACTAGATTTAATAATTTAATTTATCGATTTATTTATAGATATTTTTTCGATCCCTTAATTCCCAAGTAATTGTATCCCCGGATTTTCTGTAGTCTCTCCCAAAATTGTCGTTCTCTTTGAATCATACACGCTTATTCTTTTTTTCTTACTTGTCATTATTGTCTATAATACTCTATTTATTATTGTTACGTTACATCCTTTATTGTTTCTAGGCTCCTTGCCCATTCGGTTGTCACTACCATTGCGCCTGCAACTACGGTGACCTCTCAAGCCCTCTCCTGGTTAGCCCTGTCAGTCCACAGCCTTCCCTTTTTTTTGTTTGCTGCTCCCTATTCCCTGCCAGTTTAGTTCCCTTTACATCATTGCTTCACGCATGCACTGCCTAATCATCGGGTTTCTGATATCTTCTGACGCGAGTGGTGGGTGCCAGTCACTTCTCGTAATGAACTTCAACAGTCCGCCCTTTTTAAAAGAGTTAGTTTTAGACATATTGTTATTCTCTGACTCTTACCGTCCCAATCTAACAGAGGATTGTAAGTGATCAGTTCAAAAAAAACACGACGCGTCTGATTTTAACA